TTCTCAATTGCACTCCTCAAGTAAGAAGGGGTAAAAGACCCTTCCGTTTCAAATCAATTTGGCTCTCACCCCGAATGCAAGGAAACCATTCATAGAGCCTGGACTTGCTTGAACCCAAGGAATTTCGATGAGGGTCAGATACTAGAAAGGAAGTTGAGAACTTGCCAGAGATACCTTAAAGATTGGAACATTAGGTCCTTTGGGAAGGTACAACAAACTATAAGCCAAATCAAAGAAGAGCTTCTTTCTCTACAATGTCAGCCCACCTCGGAGAGTAACAGACACAAAGAAGAGAGCCTCCACAACCAACTTCGGTTGACTCTTAAGAAGGAAGAAACTCTATGGAGACAGAAATCTAGAATTCAATGGTTAAAAGGGGGGGATCTAAACACTCTTTCTTCCATCAAACTACTCTGATCCATCACCAATCCAATAGAATTTACACCCTGAAAAGACACGATAATTCTTGGACTCAAAACTCAAAAGAAACAATCCTAGAGGTAACCTCCTACTTCTGTAATCCCTTCACATCTACAGGATCCTCTAGTAATCCTCAAATTCTAGAGCTTGTGACTCATAAGATAACTCCATAAATAAATTCTCTACTGTCCCTACCTCTAACTTCAGAAGAAATAGATCAGGCTTTGTTCTCTATGAACCAAATAAATCTCCAAGCCCAGACAGATTTTCAGCTTTGTTCTATCAATCTTTTTGGGGTGAGGTGGGACCTGATGTCATCAAAGCAGTGCAGCAAGCTTTTAGTGATGCCAAGATCAGCCCGGCAATGAATAAAACAAATATCATTCTAATCCCCAAAGTGAAAAATCCAACATCCATTGCTGATTATAGACCAATTAGCTTAACCAATGTGAGTTACAGACTCCTTGCAAAATGCCTGGTGAACAGAATCAAAGACATAATGCTGGATTTAGTTGACAACACTCAAGGAGCATTTGTTGATCAAAGAAGCATTTTAGACAACATCTTGATAGCCCACGAGGTGTTCCATTTTATGAAGTCCAAAAAGAGGGGGAGAACATACTTTATGGCAGTCAAAATTGATATGAACAAAGCTTTTGACAGGTTGGAATGGCATTTCATTCTCTCAGTTTTGGACAGGCTAGGTCTTAACCAGCATTGGAGGAACATTATTGAGCAATGTTTGTCTACAGTGGATTTCTCAGTCATCATCAATGGAAATCAAACTGGCAGCTTTTGCCCCTACCTCTTTGTTTTGGCAGCGCAGGTCCTATCCACATCTCTCGCCAAAGCTTCAGCGGATGGCACCCTGCAAGGCAAGCCCCTCCAATACTAAATTTGCTTTTTGCTGATGATTGTATTTTGTTCATTAAAGCTGATTTAAAAAATGTTTTAGCTCTAAGAAGCATCCTTGAAGACTTTTTCTCTGCCTCAGGACAGCTCATTAACTATACCAAGTCTGAAATTTGTTTCAGTAGCAATACTCCCAGGAGGTTTAGAAGAATCCTCTCATCCATGCTAAGAATAAAGGAAACAAGCATCCCAGCCAAGTACTTAGGCCTCAACATAATGATGGGAAGGAGAAAAAAGTCCAACTAATGGACATGCTTGAGAAGACTCTATCAAAAATGAAAGGATGAAAGCGAGTGTTGCTAAATCAAGCTAGCAGGGAAATACTAATTAAAGCAGTGGTTACTGCAACTCCCTCCTATATCATGAGTCACTTCAAGATTCCTCTACACTTGATTAAGAAAATTCACAGCAAATGTGCAGCTTTTTTCTGGGGTCAAAAAGAAAATGAAAAGAAAATCCACTGGGTGGGTTGGAGGAAGCTATGTGGAGGGAAACAAGATGGAGGCATGGGGTTTAGAGATCTTTCACTATTTAACCAAGCTCTGCTTGCAAAGCTAACTTGGAAATTGCTCCAAAATGAGGATTCCTTGTGGACAACTCTTATGAAGGCCATGTATTACCCGGGAACAAATCTGCTTTCAGCTAGAATAGGGTCCAACCCATCTTGGGGACAGCGAAGTCTGATGGCTGGGAAAGACTTTCTTATGAAAGGGCTGATTAAAAGAATTGGAAATGGTCAAAATACAAAAATCTGGGATAACCAATGGGTCCCACACCTTCCAAATGGGCATATCCAAACTCAGAAACCTTCCAACTCCAACCTCGACACAATCATGGATTTAATCCTTTCGAATCCCCGAAGATGGAACAAGGTGTTGATAAGGCAAACCTTCAATCAACAGGAAGCTAAAGCCATTCTCATGATTCCCCTTTCTTGGCATGACAGTGGGGACGATTTGGAAGGGAACCAAAAATGGTCAGTACACAACAAAGTCTAGGTACCACCTAGGCTGGCAGGAGCAGAATGGACTCACAATAGCTAACTCCCAAAACGAAATCTGGAAAGAAATATGGAAAGCCAAAGTCCCTCCAAAAGTAAGGAATTTCTTTTGGAGATGCACCAACAATGCTATTGCTGTCAATGATAATTTAGTAAGAAGACATATTGCTAGCCAAAACCTCTGTACTAGAAGTGTGGAAGAGCCAGAATCTGTCATACATATGATTTGGTCCTGTGATTTTGCTAGAGCAGTTTGGTTGTCAACACCATTGAATTACAGAACAGAGGACTGGTCATTTCGTAGCTTCTTGGACTGGGTGGGAGCTTGGAAAAATTTTAGTTGGTGGGACTCAGAGAACAGAGCCGACTGGATGGTACTTCACTTACTTACAAGCTGGAACATCTGAAAGGCGAAGAACAACTGGACATTCAATCAAGTTACTGAGGATCCATCTGGAATAGCCAGACTAAGTATCAGTCAAACTTAGGAGTACATTAACATTACAGGCAGCATTGCTATTCAGCCTAGTATTTCTCAGGTTCAAGTAGCCCGTTGGGAGCCACCCCCTTTGGGGTGGGTCAAATGCAATTGTGATGCTTCTTTCAAAGCCAACTTAAAGGAGGCCACTATCTCTTGCATTTTCTGATCCCCTGATGGTGATATTCTAAAAGCCCAGACAGGAAAAATCTACTGCAATTCTATGGTTTCAGCAGAAATCCAAGCTTTAAGACTCAGTTGCAAGCTAGCTACTACTCTGCAGAATACAAGAGTTATTTTTGAAGTAGATGCCAAGCAAGTTGCTACGATAGTTAGCAAGGATTTTCTAGGTCGTTTCTCTCCTGACGGGGCAATTTACAATGATATTGCTCAGCTAAGGAACTGTCTCACAGAGAGCAGAGTTCACCACATCTATAGGAAAGCTAACAGAATTGCCCATGATCTGGCAGCTAAGGCATGGCATGCAAATATTGTAATATAGGAGGGCTCTTCTTGCCCGCCCTGGCTTCTCTCTCTTCTGAATCAGAACATGTACCCCCCCTTAAGTTTTATGAATGAATTATCGTTTTCTAAAAATAGAAAACTATCATCCTTTTATCTGTTCAAATCTCCCAATCTCAGGTGTGCTACCATTACGGACTATTTGTTTTTGAATCATCAATAAAAGCCCAATCTTGGATAGAAATGTTGGGTACCAATACCGATTATAGTTGATGTGGAAAACATTGCTGCTAGTGAAATGTTGGATCCTGAGTTGGAAACCAAATATTATGTAGAACTAGACATGGTAAAATCGAATCCATTAAAAACTAGAAGAACCCACCATGGATCACTTGATTAGGATGTCATTTCTCATCAGAGTAAAAAAAAAAAAAATCTAACCAGAGGATTAACTCGATGAACTCCTCTTCTCTGTAAATCACTCACCTTGTTCGTTGCTTTTAGTGTAAACCCAGAACTAAAGAGATGAGTAAATCATTCAATCAATAAAAAGATAAATTCCGACCGAAGACAAAGAGTAGGGGCCAAGATGGGATCACAAGGAAACCCTAAACTTTTTAATGAAGGGATATGGAAAGAAAGGAAGAAAACTTCGATAAGTTTTAATTAAGGGGTTCGGAATTTGGAAGTGTTGAAGTAGACACAAATGGGGTTTTTTAGTTTGCAAACTCAGGTTCGTGTCTTGCAGCTTGCTATGACCAACTCTTCTGTTTCCTTTTTTTTTTTTCTAGCCCAGAAAAATATTTCACAACTGGGTTGTCTTTGATATTGGATGCAAGAAGAGGTTGATAGAGGAAACAAGAAAGGGTTGAATTAAAACTAAACCTGGGCTGATCGGAATAAGGAATATGACCAAGCAAAGTCGTTTCTCTGGTATGTGTGAATCGTCTCTCCTCTTTGAGAGATATGAAACGGACCAAACGGTTATGTTGTTTTTGTTTGAGCCTTCAGAAAATGTAAAGGTAAAGTAGCGAACTGAAGGATAATCCCGATGTCGTCTTCAAATTGTTTTTTTTATAAGGAAGGACATTTTGGTCCAAAAAAATTAACTTCTTGTTCTTATCACTGTTTTTGCATTTTTTTTGTAAACTATCTGATTTTGCCATTTTATCAAACTTTTTTTTTTGTTTTTTGTAAAAAGTCCAAAATAATCCATCTTTACAATAATTAACTTCCAAATCTCTCATAATATCAGAGTTTGATTCAACAATGAGCAATGCAATATGAATTGATTAGCTTCTCTAACCAGGAATTTCCTGAAACCAAAAACCCTGCAAATACTCTAAATGTGTGGATATCCAATCACACAATGGAAATATCTCTCCACATGTATGTGAGATATTTCAAATGTATGATTGGATGCCATGCTCTTAGATTTTTTTAGAGATCAGGCTCTTTCTAAACATCAAAATGTTAGCTTTTGTAGTAATGTCCACTTTGGATATGTTACAAAAGACTTGAAATGGTCTACAAAATCAATCCAGATGAACATATTTTCATCAATTAGGGTGTGTTTCCATTTCTCTGTTATTCCAAACACGGCCTTAATGAGGATTGAGCGGCGAGCGCTATTTGCACGGCCGTGCCATTCCTGCGAGTCCAAACGTAGAGGAATCAAAGAGAACTATGCAAGCACTAAAAGGCAGAGAGAAGAAATAGTATTTCATAGAAAAATCTTCACTTTTTGCTTCCCGAGGTTTACGTTTTTATCGTTGTTTCCTTGTTTATTTTTTTCTATTTTCGTTCGAATATATATCTATAGATAGTAGTGGAAAAAAAACATTTCCTGGTCGAAATCCTGTATATATTTACGGCAATAGATATTGATCCGTTCTGGTATTGTCTCTCAAAGGTATTGTATCCTAGATTTCTCCTCAGTCTCTTCGTTTTTAGCTTGCTTTTGTTATTTGAATTTTTAAAGATACTCGGATCTTGTTTTCGTGTTCTTCCTCTCTGGTTTTTCTCTCCTTTTCCTTTTTTTCCTTATTTCACCGATTTTGGTTTCCACCGGTGGATTTGCGGAGTGTTTTTTTTTTTTTTTTCTAATTTTCCGTCTGCAATTTTTTAATATTATGTTCTCTGCCTTTAAGGCTTTAATTGCTCTGTTTTTCTTTCTTTATTTTTTGATTTACGCCATTTTGGTTCATGATTCGTTGTTGACTTGTTCAACAGATGCTTCTCTCTAATATCTATTGTCACAAAAATAATTATCATATTACAGTCGTTTTACTCATTTACTCTGTTCACGTTAATACATGACTACAGTTTATAACGTCAATGCCTTAAGAGATCAAAATTTTTACCTCACTAATTGAAAATTTTGAAGCTTTGCTACATTGGATTGATTCAGCGCGTTAGAATTCGTAGTTCTGTATTCAAGCATAAGTAAATTTAGTCCAGTCGCATTGCCTGTATTCAAGTAGATTTTTATGTTACTTTATAGGGATTTTGGAAGAACACTGCGGAACACGGTATATCCAAATTTTTATTGCGATGGCCTCTATATCTTCTAATTCTACTTATAACTTGAACGGCGGTCTCTGGGTTCGAAGAGCAGCAGCTGTTCCTGGAAACCAATGCCAACACCTAGTACCTAAACAATCACTTCTTTCTCAAACATTTTCTGTTTCCACTCACGCAAAACGGTTCTTTCCCATCGAGGAAAGTACCAGAAGAATCCCACGGATGAATACTGACCGATGTTGTGCCTTCGGTGTTGAAAAAACATCTTCATTTTCTGTGGGAGAGAAGTTTCAACTTGATGATGTGATAGAGGCTCAACAGTTTGATAGGGATACTTTGAATGCCATATTTGAAGTGGCACGAGAGATGGAGAAGATTGAGAAGAACTCCCCTGGAAGTCAAATTTTGAGAGGTTATCTAATGGCTACTTTGTTTTATGAGCCATCCACACGAACTAGGCTTTCCTTCGAATCTGCCATGAAAAGGCTGGGCGGAGAAGTTTTGACAACAGAAAATGCACGTGAATTTTCGTCTGCAGCAAAAGGAGAAACCCTTGAAGGTAGTGAAAAACTTGAAATGGTTTTCTTATTTGTCTGTCTATGTTCTGCTTTGTTTTAGTTTTTAGTAGAGAACTTGAAATGGTTTTACTGGACTCAGTTTCTTATTTGGGAGTTTGATGTACAGATACTATAAGAACTGTTGAAGGGTACTCAGATATTATTGTAATGAGACACTTTGAAAGTGGTGCTGCTAGAAGAGCGGCAGCTACAGCTAGCATTCCTATTATTAATGCTGGGGATGGTCCAGGGCAGCATCCAACACAGGTATGGCTAACGTGTTCAGTCTTAAACTTCCTTTATCTAGTGATAAACAAATTTTTGCTATGCCAGAACCTTACCCAAATGTCCATCTGGTTGTGCATATCCCCATCAAAAGCCTCTGGTATATATTGGAAAATCTATCTTTCTTCTAGCAATCTCACCCTCTCATCTTTGGTTTTTCATGACCACCAGTTTCTGTGTATACTAGTAACTAGGGCTGCAAATGGATTGGATATTCCTAGATTTAAATTTAATTCTTTAACATGTCAGTACAAATCAACTTTATCCATTCAAATTTAGATATTCAGATTGAATTTAGTTTGAAATCAGAAGTTGAATGCCATTAATAAATAAACTAATAATCAGTAAATTACAAAATGAACAAACATTGATTTTGATATTGTATATCACAAATAACATGAAACAAAAATAACTTTCTACGAGACTTGAACCTAGGGCTCTTTAGTAAACAACTAAAAATATAACATTCAAACTAACTGTACTAATAGATAAATTTAATGTAAATATGATCATAAATACATACATACATACAGATTGGATAGGGATTGATCCATATTTGATCCAATTATAAATGGATCAAATTTGGTTCAACCTTAACCGGATTGAATTTGGATTCAAATTTGGACAAATGGTACCATTTACAGCCCTACTATTAACTTTTGCGATGAAAGGGATTTTGAGATTCTTTCTTTTGGTCTCATGTAAACATTTTTAAGACCAGAGACTATCACTTGTATCTGCATTCTTAAACATAGTATTGCTTCTACGTCACATTAACTATTCATGTTTTTTTGGCATCATCATGCCATCATGGACAAGTTTTGAAAGGCAGCTATTCTTGTAGTTTGGTTGTTACCTGGATACGGAACGGACATGGCTTGATATAGTATCAGGGGCAGCCCAGTGCATGAGGCTCCCACCAATGTGGGGTCTGGGGAGGGACAGATGTATGCAGCCTTACACCTGCACATACAGAGAGGCTGTTTCCAAGATTTGAACCCTGGTCACCCTGGTCACAATGGAGCAACCTAACCATTGTGCCAAGGCCCACCCTCACATGGCTGGATATAGTATCTGGTACATATTTTACAATAAAAACTGAAGTGTCTGACACAGTGCAGTACTCTTGTACAGGCATCTAGATATCATAGGTTTTGGTCCAAACCCAGCTGGAGTCATTACAAACTAAATGTTGATGGTTCCTCTGGAGGAAACTCATGTGCTGGGGGTGGCGTTTGAATCTTAAGAATTTTGGGGAGCCTTATTAGGGGGTTTGTCTATGACTACGGCTTGGATGGTAACATCCTAGCTGAAGCAAGAGCCTTATTTAACAATATTTGCCTTTTGTTAGATCTTAATATTAATAGAAGGCTTTATATCAAGAGTGACTCCTTGATTATGGTTGAGGCTATCTTCAGTCAGTTATCTTCTCCCTGGGTCATTTGGGACTGGATTAGGGAAATTAGTAAATTTAGGATCTGACAGCTAATGATGACAGGTTTTTTCTTCCACAAGTTCTCTACCACAAGTCCTTAGGGGCATTCTAGTTCTTGACAGATCTGGAATACCTGGCATCCATTGGCACTAATGGAGCTTTGTCTTTTCTCTTTGGGTTAAGGCCTCACATCTTCCCTACCCACCCCATGTATGATGTATCATTTATGTGGTTTATCTAAAATTATGATATAAGGTGGTTCGATATGATAACATAACTTTGGAGAATAGCAAAAACTAGGCAACCTAATTCATGAAAGTAAAGCTTTTTTTTTTCTGTATCAGGGAATATAGTCAAAAGAGTGCTAACATATTGCATGTTGTCATTTACTCTTCCATCCTCCTTTCTTTTATTTTTCTTTTAATGAGTTTTCTTAGCTTGGATTTTCTTTTTCATGGTAAATATGTCTTCTTGGTTACTCAATTGAAGCTGGGGAAATTCACTGAAATTTGTTTATTTATTTTTATTGAGAATTTGAAATTCTGCAAGATAATTGGTTTTTTTTGCTTCCTTTTCATGTTCACTGTGCAGGCTCTTTTGGATGTATACACAATTCAAAGAGAGATAGGAAAACTAGATGGCATCAAAGTTGGTCTTGTTGGGGATCTTGCTAATGGAAGGACAGTTCGATCACTGGCATATCTGCTATCCAAGTACCAAGATGTTAAGATCTACTTTGTTGCACCAGATGTAGTTAAGATGAAGGTAAAAAAGGGGAAAAAAGCAATAAACAATGAAAGAAGAAAGATCTCCCCCCCCCCCTTCTGTGTGTTTGTAAATTCCGACCCAAATTATTGACACCGTAACTTCCTAATACCTTTCATTAGCTTTTCAGTTAAACAATAAGAAGGAAGTTGAGATAAACTTGGTAATAATCAGGAAGAATATGGTTTTCTCGTTTCTTGCAGGATGATATAAAAGACTATCTCACGTCTAAGGGGGTTGAATGGGAAGAAAGCACAGATCTGATGGAAGTGGCATCTAAATGCGATGTGGTCTATCAAACCCGTATTCAGAAAGAAAGGTTTGGTGAGAGGATCGACTTGTATGAAGAAGCTCGAGGGAAGTACATTGTGGACCTGGATGTATTGGGTATGATGCAAAGGCATGCCATTGTCATGCATCCCCTCCCAAGGCTTGATGAGGTAAATTCTAATGAATTGGTAATCTCTATGACCATCATTCTTTGTTGCTGTATTTGGTCAATTTTACCTACTTATTTTCATGATGTACTGTAGATCACAGTGGATGTTGACATGGATCCTAGAGCTGCTTATTTTAGACAAGCTAAGAATGGTCTCTACATCAGGATGGCTCTTTTGAAGCTTCTGCTTCTTGGTTGGTGAAGGATACCTGATCCTTTGTTCTGATTTTTTTTTTTAACTAATGCTTGGTTTCTTCATGCTACTCATGCCAAAAATGAGAATTATTTTCTATTGACAGAACAAATAGATGGTAAAAACAGCAAGAATAATTTAAGTTTAGAACATGTTTATTGAGGTGAAAGCAAAAGGCTTGGTATCACTTCTTACTTGAGGGAAATGAGATCCATGGTTGGTTATTTTTACTTTTTTCACTGAATCTTAAATTGCATAAGACTACAGGTTTTCTTCTTTCCCTTTTAAAAAGAATTTAGCTTTTCATTTACAAAGATGCTGAAACAGGAAAAGGTGATAAGGATATCCTCACCATGTGATCCAGACTTCTTAGGAGAACAATCTTGCCAAAACTGAAAGTTTTCAGAACTCGGCTTACATTGATCATGATTTCTACATGTTGGGCTACGGTGATCCAAGGTGGGTTTGCTCTAACCATAACCCCTTTTGGCTGTCGTACTGAACGCGATTATGTTTCTGGCATGCTTGAAACATTTTTGACACTTGGTTATAGTTATACTGACTGTGATGCAATGGGATTCTCTGCAAGCAAAAAGCATGGGAAACCCACCCAACATGGAGAACGTCTCCCCATGAATATGACAGGAATGCACGGGAGATATTCCCTAAGTGCGGCTGGATGCTATATGAGCAGAACTTGCTTGCAGGAGATCCAGGCTGAATTGTGATCTGATAAGTGCTAATATGGTTACCAAGGGGAGGTTGAGATGTGATGGTCCTGATGGACTGATGGGCTTGGGACTGTTTGATTGATACTCAAGTAGCGGCTTTGACGGTTGCAGAATATATATTGGGCAAGAAGCATAGGAAGCCAATGTAGTCTTCAAATCCTGCTTTAGGCCAAAGGTGAGCCAGGAGTTACACTCAACTGTGAACATAACTGAGAGAAATCTCATAGGTTCTTGGTTGTTGGCATGTTCCTTTAAGTATGTCAAGTGGGTTGGTTTTTGGATCAGAAGCATGACTACAACCTTGGCATGCCTTGGGACCCATATTTTCCAACCTTTCGATTTCAGAGGGATCACCACCTAAAAAAACAATCCTAAATTAAGGCTTTCAAGAGAAAGGTTGGATCCTAGGTCGGCATTGCATTTACGAGTTCTGAACGTAAGTCAAAAGGGGTACAGGTTAGATGGGGTCCTGCCCATATGGGTCCCCCGTGGTTGTCATCTCTTTTCTTCTACGGCAACAGTTGGCTGTGAGTGCTTTCATTGATCATCAGCATTCACTCCATACTTTGAATTGGCATTTTCTGATTTTCATATATTTACCCTTAGGCTATGCTTGGTTTGAAGGAAAAGGTAGAGAGACTTATACAAGGTTTGTAAAACTTTCCTTGCCTTTCCCTTTCTTTCTCTACTTTTTCCTTCAAACTAAACACAGCGCAAACCCGTTATTGGGACGGGCAAATCTGGAATCTCAAAATACAGGATACCACTCTCACTGTCACAAATGAAAGTTTGAGGATCTAGAGAATGGAAAATAGAACTGGGCAATAAATTCGAAGGAAACTGCTGCTTCACGTCAAACCTTTCATCTATTTTGGTTATATTTTTAATTGTAAGCAAACTTTTGGCCAAAAAACATCGATTTCGCTTTGTATAATTTGACTTCAGGAGTACAAATACAAATTCGAAGAGTACAAAACCATATATTTTGTATTATTTTACATATATTTTTACCTTGTTTTGGTACTGAACATGTATTTTTACCCAAGTGATTAGGTTTTATATAATTTCATAAACTTTTGGCGTACTGGTCAGAGTCCTGCAGCCTGCCGTTATCAGTTATCTAAAGAAACTGCCCTCTTCATCTCCCCCCACAAGTTATAATCACTTGAATTCCAAAATTAGGACCTAGTCCTCAGCCTATTCTTCCTTGTAAATCTTCAAGCAGAAAACAATTTAGGTACAGTAGTGATCAAATTGGATTATACACTTAAAGCCCCTATATGGCTGAAGTCTTAAACCATGAGAACTATAACAAGGTAAATAAAATTTTTAGAAATATTCATGCTTGGGATAAGTACATCCATACGACCCAATTCCACAACACATCACTTTTGACCTAGATCACTTCCACCGCTATCGCATCTACTCATAAACACCTCCAGAACCTCTTGAACCATCGGAATCAAACCAACTCAACGCTTTGGATCTACTTATTTATAATGTCAGGTGGTATGGACCAATTTAGTGATTGACCATAATCCTCTCAAAAATCCAACATGCAGCTTCTTACACTACTTTATAGCGCTGTCAACAGACCTAGACTTTTACCTTTTTACTAAATGATAAGTCAGCACCTTTTCGTTGGGTGTTCTTGTATTCCCAGGAATGAAAGATGATTGGTTTTTTGGTCCCTGGAAAACCAAAAACGTTAACAACAAATCCCACCTTAAATGTTCATATGGCGGTTGGATAATGGATAGCCAGCGTTATCGTGAAGATGCATGCCACGAGAAGAAAACCATACCTTTCTTTTTCAGAAGGGTGTCGTTCAGGTATATCGTGCCAAAATAACACTTCAGCGTTACACATGCGATGAAACAAATTTCACAATTCACATAGCTCCTACAATCTACCGCGAGCACACATGCATATATATATAAAGTTAAAGCACATAAATTAAGAAAAGCTTCCAGTTTGTGCTGTTCTCTGCACTGTACAATTCCAGATGACACCAATGAAGAGCCATCGTGCAAGAAAACGAGTACCTCATCATCATGCAGCATTCTCCTCTCCAACTGGTCATCTCTTCCGGCGTTTTGGCTCCACCTGGAAATGATCAGAAATACACCCAGATAATAAAAAGGGGTGAGAATATAATCGCAAATGGATACCAGAAAAAGTCTACCACTGGCAGTTGAATGAAATTCTCTATGAGAAAAGCTATAATGGTTGTTCCGCTCTATGATGCCAACAACTTCTGATCTTATTTATTAAGTGCAACATGGGATAAATTGCATACAGGGTATGGAATTCCTTGATTCCACTTTGTATCAAGTGTTTGTTACCTCTACCATAGAGGACGTTCTCCAATGTGAATTGTTTTTCTTGTTGTGAGTTGAAAAAATCATCTGGTTTGAAAACAAATTGGTTCTTGAAACAAAAACACAGAAAACAAGTTCTTCGTTATATGTGTTTTTGGTTTTCAAAACTAAAACGATAATATGTTCTTGAATTTCTAATTAGAACATGTTTTAATCTGGTTAATTGGTTATTTAATATCATGTTCCAGACAATATAATTTCTATACTACAAAATTTGTTTTAGTTTTTAAAAACCAACAATTTGATGATTTCAAAAACATGTTTTGTTTTTTTGAAACAAAACCAACTTCTGTTGTTTTTTGGCTGACATGGCAATTTCAAAAACAAATGAAAACAAATGTGAGGTCTATTGCCAAAAATAAATAATATAGTCCAAGTCTTTGTACATAATATAATAAATATGATATTAAACACAAACCCGTAGACACAGATAACTGGTTTCTTGTGCAATCAATAAGAATTTATTATTAAAAGGGAACCTAACTTGATATTGAAGGAAGCTGTAAATTGTTTAAAAAATACCCCAAAAACCAGCAATTGGAATGTCCATGCAAATAGTGATAACTAGAAATTGGAACCATTATTTCCAGGATTTTAAAATCTTGTTCATCTTTTAGCCCCTGGACCTTGGTCCACTCTCTACTCTTATGATTTCTGACTGTTATTTAATGACACTCCAAGCCTCAGCGAATTATGTGCAACCATATTTACTTTTTCATGGAATTATGTGCTTCCACTTTCTCATTCATCTAAATCCCCATCCACCATGCTAATGATCTACCAGGCATAGATGGTCACTTGAAACCCCCTCCAATTTGGAGGTGTGGGATCAAACCCACAGACCTGCAGCCTCTCCGTGCTACGGCCAGTGAGCCTCATATGCACACTGCTCTTCCCCACCTCCAATTCCCCACTAATGTCCAAAAAAAAATCCCCATCCACCTTCTAAACCAATGTCAGAGATGAGATGTCCACTTTCCCACCTATATGAATATATTTACTTAAGATTATGCAAGAAATTAGAGGCATCCTTCATAATGCAGACTAAACTAAACATCATCAAGCACTTTAACCATGTAGGTGTCAGATGATACTATCCTTTTCTGTGAAGGAGGGAACCTCAGTTGGATCCGGAATCTAAAGTTGACAATACAACTTTTTGAACAGATATCTAACCTCAAGGTAAACTTTGACAAGAGAGTGTTAGCTTTTGGGCTCCGGTAGTGGAGAGGTTTGAGAAGAGGCTAGCGGCCTGGAAGAGGAGTTATCTTTCTTTAGGTGGAAGAGTCTCTCTCATTAGATCTACCCTAGCTAACATTCCTGTTTACTTTCTGTCAGTGTTTAAGATCCCCTCAAAGGTTTCAAATCTTTTGG